GGAGTCCCAGCCCTGTTCAGGAAGGAACTGAGACCCGGATACAAACTGGGTTGCCTCGGAGTTGACGTCTGCGGGGTGCACTTCACAACACATTCAGCTGCTGCCCGACTAAAGCTGTCGGGGGCGAGACTGTCCCCGGGTCGCCACCGCAGCCATGGCGCACGCGCCAAGGAGACCCGTCTCACCTGGGCCCGGGAGAGGTCAGGCACCCACTCCAAGAGCCTTTTATCCTGCAAAGCGGCGCTCGCTCCTTCCCTCGAGTAACCAGATCGGAATGGCTGCTTTTGATCCCACTTGCTACCAACCCTGGCATTTGTTTTCCATTTTATAAACGCTTCTCTTTAAGTAATTGTCCCTGTTAACAGCGTATACCTTTCAGCAGCCCTCACTGCGCTATAAATAATCTCGATGAAGATGCAAGGATATGACTTTCACAAGATTGGACAATTGATTCAATCTGTGACCCGCGATCGCGAATAATATTGGAAGGCTATTTAAACAGATGAAGGCCTAAATTGTCTTGCTTGTATCTGAATTAATTTCTCATTCATCATCATTATGAAGTGATTGGTCTATTCAAACTCTTCAGCCTGCTGGAACGGAGCGGGATTTAAATGAGATTGTAACACAATTTAAATGCTTGCCGACTTTAACGAGGCCAATTGAGCAGCTGCAATAAATACAAATATTTTTCTAAACAGCCTTGTTTTAAATAATTACTTAATGCTTTCATGTTATTTTTAAGTGGCAATCTTTCTCTCTCCTGCTCCTGCTCAGAATATCACATACTTATTTGCTGAGAAGGCGATTTTGGAAACGGCTTTGCATTTCTATTTGCTTTGTAGATGATGTGATGCTTTTCATGGTTGGGTTTTGTTTTGTTTCTTAGGGTCAACATTTCTGGGGGTCCCAAAAGGTGACACAAATGCTGAACTGGACCTTGGTTTCACCTGATTGGCACTCTGATGTGCCTGTCCCTGCAGAACTTGGGAGGAGCTAAGGGATGGAAGACATTTGCTGATCCAGACTTGTTTCAGCGGGGTCCTGCAAACGAATCTATGCAATTGCACCTACAAATGAGACCCTGAAGAGTGGCATCGTTTCTGATTTGTTCTGATGACGTCATCGTCTTGAACAAATCAGAATACCAGTGCATCCCAAAGGTGTCCCTTAGGAAGTCTAATCCGAGCAGTTTGGCTTCAGTCAGTGCCAGTTCATAGGAGCGGGTGGAGGCAGGCTGAGCAATTCTTTGTTAGGGAACACAGAAAGAGAACCTCGCTGCAAGTAATGGTTTGGGGAGGGGAATGGGAAAATAATTAGAAAAAAATTCCAATTTTTTGCCCTGATCTTCTCCCCTCCTCCCGCTACCACTCTCCAGTTTGGGTGCATGGAGAGGATACTAAGTAGGCACACCTCTTCCCACTTGTCATCCGTCTGGATATCTTCAGCAAATGTCCACTGTGACACCCACGCTCTCCAGCAGACATATGGCGGCGGGTGTTTCCTCGTTTGGAGAATAATGGAAGCAACCAAGCAGGAGAAGCCTGGGGAACAAAAGAACCTTTTAAACTTTTGTGAAATGGATGGTGGTGAGGGGACACAAGACTTGTTGTGGGTCCCCGAGCTCCTATTTGGGGTGACTGTCTAGAGCTATATCCCTCTGGGAGGTCTGGGGTGATAGGATGCATCCTGAATCTCTTTTCCCTCTGCCTGGAGTCAGGAGGAGGATTCCATGCCAGGGGTGTTCTGGTCCAGGCTTAGAGCCTCAGAAGGCGGAGCTAGTGTAGTCACTAGAGAAACCTTTTGTGGGGCGTACCAAGCCATCAGATTGCCTGCCATGGAGGGGGTGGATGGGTAATGGGGATAAGATTGGAGGAGCCAAGTGATTTGCTATGTAACTGGGCAATTTAATGCCAGAGTTAGGGAGCTGCTGGTCAGAATCATTTCGTCTTCGGGGCTCTGCCGAGCTCATCCTCTTTATCCTGTTGTTTAAAATGAGCATTATCCCAAACATATGCAATGCAATCAGTTTGGTCACACTTACAAGAACACGCTTTAATAAGGCAATCAATCACACGCTAACAAGCCGGGGCCGGCTGGGCCCTGCACTCACTCCGGCTGCAGGGTGGCTAGTCTTGCCGGGATAGGCAAACCGGGGTTAGTCACTGGACCTCATTCCCAGTCCCCGCCAGTCTAGCCAGGATTGAGGAGCTGTAGCTGTCAGGAGTTAAGTGTTACACTTCGCTGGGTGTGACCTCAGACTCAGAACCCCAAGGTGGGATGAAGGAGGAGGGAGCTGGAGCCTGAAGCTTATAGCTGCATGGGCCAGTATTGACTGCAGAACCATAGCCTCTGTTTTCCCACCTGCAAGATGGGACCATGACCTGGCAGAGTTGACAAAGCTGAAATCAACGAAAACAGTACCTGGTCCAGCTTCCTCCTCCTCCAGATAGACATTGCGACTAAGAATGGGCAGGGCCTTCTTCATGGTCATCCCACTTTCCCACCAAAGTGGAGCATGTCAGGCTAGCCTGGGTAGCTCGATGAGGACCTGACGAAGGTGGGGTGGGGGAGGCATAGTGTGAGAAGTGGTGCCTAGCGCCAAACCGCAAACCTTGGCAAAAGGGAAATTTCATTATGAAGTAATGAGTAATTCCTTCTGGCAAGATGTATTGTTATATCTTCCACTTCAATTTGGAGGAAGAGAGGCTCAATTACCCAGAAAATACAGTCAATTAAAGGCTGCTGATTGGACACGAGGCCGGATCATCGATCTTGTACTTTCCAATAGCGCTGCAGACACCTCATTTTCCCTCCCTATTAACTGAAAATACGCCTGGCATTAAGGCAACCCGCAGCCCATTTACCTGTCGCAAGCAATCTTGGCCCGATGCGGAGCAACCGCGAAATTTACTGGGATTTGGCACTGGGGAGCTTCCGGCTGCGTGGGGCTGGGGACGGGGCTGAGATGGGGAGTGCGGTTGCTGGAAACTGGCCAGGGCGGGGGCCACAGGGTGCAGCAGGGCTGCTCTGGAGCCCCAGGAGGGAGGAGAACGGTTAAGGAATCCCCACCTGCCTGCGGAGACACCAACAGAGAACCTTCGGTGGAGTCCAGGCAATCCAGAGCCTCCTGCCCTCCCGGAGGACCCCATCTCTCCCTTGCTTGGGTGGAACCTCAGACTCAGTCACCTTGGCTCTCCGTGGGGTAGTTGGGTCTGCTGAGCACCGTTTGCCCCCTTAACCCGACGTCCCAGAATTCTGATCTCCACACCCCTCCGATGCCTTCTAGTTTAAGGATGAGGCAAACTAAGACTACTCCAGTCCCCCTCTGGCCTCTCCCCCCGACCCTCGGGGGCAGGCCCAGTTCCACAAGCAAACCTAGCTGTCTGCAGCGCTCCAGCTCCACTGCCACGGCCCACTTGCCTCACCTAGGACTGGGGTGGGAGCACCTTTCAGGGAGACTGCATCCGGGATCCCTTTTCCTCAAAGAATTGGAGCGGCAGGAGAAGGACCCATCCACCAGAAGGGTGAGCCCCAGGTGGGATCAGCACTTTGAGGACCAATTTACCTATGGAGGGTCCCCCAGCATTCCCGAATTAAAGAAACATGCACCCCAGGTGCATGAATGAAGCCGGACTTCACCTCCTTGCAGCCTGTTTGTTTGCCCAATAAAGGCTTAGGAGACATGTTTGAATCTGTTCTTTGTATTCCTTCCCTACCCAAGCCATGGTGGCTAAACTAGCAATTCAAACAGTGTGCTGCTGCCTGCTGCAAAAAAAAATTAAAAATGAATATATTTAAAAGCTAAGGTGAGCATCATGTCCAGTTTTTATTGCAATATGGTTAACAAATCATAACAGCAAATTCTTTGGGCTTCAAAGGAAAACCCCAAATCAAACCAAATTCATTCCCTACAGGAAGATCCACTCCCTCCCAGTTAGGGTAAAGCTTGTATTGGGGTGCAGGGGGAGAAGTTCTCCTCTTCCTCAAAAACTGGCTGCAAGAATGAGTGTGGCAGTGAGGTGTCGTGAATGACTCCCAAACAAACCCAAGTGAAGGGTAGAGACAGGAGGGCAGAAGGTGCCCTGCTGGTTTCTGGAAGTCAAGCTCCTATGGCAATTTGGGAGGAAAATGAGAGAAGGATGTAAAAAGCCCCACTCCCTAAGCTCTTCCCTGGGCGCCTTGTTAACAGCCCAGCCCTGGCGTGGTGGCCAGCCGGATAGTGATCATTATTATACATACATTCAACATTCAAAAACCCCTTCGCACACATCGCTTGCTAATCAGGGTGTGTGCTGGGTCCAGGGAGAAGAGGCTTGGCCTCGTAGAAGCTGCCATGGGGCCCTGGGGCTTCTGCAGCTTCCCTGCCAACACCATACAAAAAGAGGGAGGGCTGGTTGCAAGTTGAGAGATGTCACAAAACCTGGAGTGAGGAAAGAGACCAACTAGATGTGGGTAGATGGCAGAACCAGATAATACCTAACTGAGGCTCTAAGAAGGTGAGAAAGCCCCAGGTTTCCTGGTCAAGGGGCAGGATTCTCCCTGGCAGTAAATTATGTCTCACTCTCTCTCCCCTAAATGGCTGGTGTGTTGCCATCAGCAAGCCCCCTGCCATGCTTTGGAAAAGCTGGTGAAGATTAATCTCTACCTGCTCTGCATACACAGCATTTTGTTGAGAGAAACAGCAATTTCCCTTTCCATCGCTTGGCCTTGGCAGGGGAGAGGGAGCCCAGGTGAGGAAGGAGTGTGAGGTGGGGGGGATGGGGCAGAAGGGCTGGATGGATATGGGTTGTGGTTGCTGCTGTGTTTTGTTTAGCTATGGAGCTGTGGCCTCAACCCCAGTTAGGGGTGGTGGGTCCAGTGAAGAATGGCAAAGAGAAGCCACCCCAGAGGAAGCTCTCTCGACCTCATCTTTTCCATCAACCCCTTTTGCTGCCCTAACGTGCCAGCCACTGCCGCTTGCTTCCTGGGCCTTCCGATCCTGGAGGATCCTGGAGGAGTCCCGTTGGTCCTTTGCGGCCCTCTCTTCTCCCCTTCGGTGTCTTGGGGGGCGGGAGATACAAGGCTGAGTCCCGAGCCGTCCTGGAGCTGGCAGCCCGCGGGCGGCCCCTTATCTGGTGAGAGGCACCTCCTCCCTCTGGTCCAATGCGACAGAGGAGGCCTTGCTGAGCACCGAGGGCGCGAAGGTGAGGAAGGAGTCCGAGCGGGAGGTGGAGGCACAAGTGAAGTCCGAGGCGGCGGCGGCGGCCCGGGGCGCCAACCCATTGGCCGGGCCGCTGTGGCAGGCAAGGCAGGAGCAGGGGCCGCCGGCCGAGGCGCCCAGTCCGTGAGCGGGGCCGGGGTACAGCGGCGGGTGACGGAAGGCGCACAGCAGTTCGGGCCGCGGGTAGGGCTGCGAGAGCACGCGGAACGTGTCGAGCGGACGCAGCGGGCCACTGAAGGGCGAGGCGGCGGCCGAGGCTGCGGACGCGGCGCCCAGGCCCACTGGCGAGTAGTAGGGCAGGGGCAGGTGCGATGGGAAGGGGTAGGGCAGGCCGCCCGCGGCTGCCGCGTGGCTCATCATGTACGTGTAGAAGGCAGGGTCCGCTGGATGCGGCCACGTCATGGCCAGCCGCTGCCGCTTGTCCTTCATGCGCCGGTTCTGGAACCACACCTGGGGAGAGGATCGAGCAGATCAGGCGACAGGACTAGGTGTCCGGAGTCGTGAAATCCTGCCCCACTCTGGGGGACAATCCCCACAGCGCAAGGAAGAGACAAAACAGACACCAGCGGGGCGATGGGAGACCCCCACTACCACCTGGAGATGGAATCCTCCGTAGATTCAGGGAGTCACTAGTCCCTGTCCCTTCTTTCCTCTACCCACGTGGCCAGCACCCCCAAGGCGCCAGAACCGAGAGTGAGTGTGCAAGTAGTCGAGGGCGGGGGGAGTAGGACTCCATTATCTGAGGCGGCATACTACATTTCCCCAGAAATGTGTCCCCTTCTATCCCTCCCTCTCCTTTGGGACACTTCCGTCACGTCCACAGGCACCCGATCCCTGTTGTTTATTTGCCTAGGTAAAGGACCTCCAGGCAGCAGTGCCCGCCTAGGGACTGTCAGAAGGGCAAATCTGCACGCACCAGGCTGGGGACCCCAAGCCCAGATTCGCCGCGCCACATTTGGGGCGTGGGCCGTGGGTATGTACTTCTTGCTACATGGGTGCGTACCCGCCTCGTGCGTGCTGACGGCGCATACCTTGATGGTGGTTTCGGGCAGGTTTAGGGCGGCCGCCAGCTCGCATCTCCGCGGCCTGGACACGTAGTTCTCCCTGTAGAATTCCTTCTCTAGCCGTGCAATCTGCTCCCTGGTGAAGGCGGTGCGGTATCGGCGCATCTGGTCACTGGCGCTGCAGGCCAGGGTGCCTTGCGAGCTGCTCCCGCCGCCACCACCACGTTGCTCTTGGGAGCTTCGCTGCCGCTGTTCGGACTGCCGCCCAGTGCCTCCGAGGCTGACCCTGCGCAGAGAGTCCAGAGCACACATGTACACGCACACGGACACACAACAGACACAAATGCTGCAGACGTGGGGCTGTAGGTCTAAAGAGAGGGGTGGGCAGAAAAAGGACAACCCCTCAGCTGCCTCACTTAATGCCTCTGCTGGGACTTTGGGGACTCTAGGAGGGAAGACAGGGGCTTGCCACTGGGACAGGGACATAGAGGGGGAGGCCTGGTCTGGCTGCTGTTTGGAAGGCCTGCTGGTTACTGAGACTCCCAGCCACCCTCCTACCTGCACTGGGGTACAGGCAAGGTGCCTTCTTCCTGAACCATTGGCAAAGGTAGGCAGGGTGTGCCCTGACTGGCAAGTGAGTTGAGATGCACCTTGGAGATGGAAGGTTGTGAACTCTGGACCTAGTCTACTGTAGAATGCTGGACATGCAGGGAGTTTTCCCTCCCTTTTGTGTGTGCACAGGTGTGGGAACGCATACTAGGTTGCATTGTTGCAGAGGTAGTATATTTGAGTGGAGTATATGTTGTTCTATGGTAGGGAATCTGGATTGAGCAGATGATAAAACGGTATGGGGTGGGGGTGGGTACTGAACTAGGTATTGGCTGCCAAGGCCAAGAGGTGGCCTTTCTTCCCTCCCAGTTTCTTCCTATCCATTGCCACAGTTTTGTGGAGGAGTGT